TGGTAATGTGGAATCAGGTGGCTGCCTGTCTGCAGTGGGGTGATTCGGTGTCTTCCGCGTGACTCAGGACCTCGGTAGGGTGTGCACAGGCCTGCCTGTCTGCAGCGGGCTGATTCGGCATCTTCCGCGTGACTCCTCGTGATTCTTTCTGACAGTTAAATGCCCAAACATTGTGACAATGCACTCCTTTCAGATGACTCTATGCAAAACATTAGCATCCAAACATCTCCCTGTGTGTGTTTTTACTGCTCAGTGGATCATAGTACCTGACAGAAGCCTTCCCCGGGCCCTGGGCAGTTGGGGACCCACATACACAACTTGTCTTGTGCTCCCACTGTCCACGCTCGCTCTGCCTGAGTTTCCTAGGACAAGCCAGGCTCCATGTCACTGAGTCACCACATGTGTCGCCAGGGGTGGTGGAAGCCCTGAGCGGGCTGAGCTTGAGTGAGCACCTTGCATGATCTCCAGCCAGTTTCATGGAGGCCACTGTCAGGAGAAGGAGGAGGCTCCTCACCGAGTGGCTCTATGTCCCACTCAGGAGGTAGAGCAGCCTTGGTTCAACACTGCCACCAGGGTGTGGGGCTGTCCTCTCCTCTGGAAGTCACCAAGAGTGTCCTGAGAAACAGTGTGAATCCTGCCTTTGCTGAACTCATGTCACATGACGCATGTCTTAACAGAAGATGATCAGTGTCCCAGCAACATCAGGCAGGATGAGGGATGGACTGCCAATGGGGTGAGGTGTCGCCCCACCAGGTGGGGGCAGCAGTCCTGTAGATTCCCAGGGAGGACAGTGGGACAAGGGCCCTGGGGCAGGTGTGTGCCTTGGGTCCCAGTAGAAGGACTTGAACCTGAGCCAGGGAGGGGCACTGGAGATGACATTCAGTGGCAGCAGGGACTGGATCCTGAGGGGCCTTGCAGCTGCCACCAGGACTTCAGCCTGGCTGAGTGGGTCCCATGGGAAGGCTCTGTCCATCGAATCCACACTTTACATGCACCAGCCTGGTAGGTACCCAGGGGTCAAGTTGACTGTCATAATGTCCCTGGCTTCTGAGCACAGGGCGGTGATCCAGTGATTCAAATGAGCCATAAGGTACTCCCTTTAAGTGAAAGGGACTTCTTCACTCACGGAGGCAAGTATCATGCACTGAAGTTGCTGGGATATGTGTTATAACAGATCTGTTAAGAAAGAGACACCACGCTCCATAGCTTTCACTATGCAGTCAGATACCAGTACTCAACTGCTTTGAAGTTCATCGAATTTGGTACTTGATGCATGTGGACACAAAAATTTTGTCCCCAAAATATACTCATACCTTGTGCGGTACTCAATGCTCAAACTAGAACTTGGTGTCAACGGCCGGATGGCATAAACAGCTTGTGTGGTCCTTGTTGAGTTCAGTACTGGTTACACTTCCCAGAACCAGTAACAAAGAATAGGGAGGTCCCACTGTGATATATTGCTGTAATTGTCCTACTTTATCTTGGTCATTGCTGTTCACCTCATACAAGGCTCTTTTAAAATGAAGCTTCATTACAGGTACACCTATGCAGGGAGAATGCAGGGCGCAGGGTCAGACACACTGCTGTTCAAGTGCCAGGTTCTCACCAGTGTGAGAAACAAGGGCAGATCCAGGGGAAATGTGGCCACCACCAGATTCTGCTCTGTCCCTGGCTCCCCGAAGGGAGAATGTGAGGGAGGGGCTGCAGAGGCTGGGACCCAAGGGCCCTGAGGAAATGAGGGCCACATAGGTCTCCTCCCACAGGTAAATGTGGCCTCTTACCCTAGGTCCTAGGGATGCCCCAGGCATGCCTCACCTGGACACTGATCTGTGACCACCTTGGGTCCTAATGTAGAAAAGGAGGAGTGAGGCTGGGTGTGGTGGTGCCTGCCTGTAATCCTAGCACTTGGGAGGCTGAGGCAGGAAGATTGCCACAAGTTTGAGGCCAGCCTGGGCAACAGAGTTCAAGGCCAACCTGAACTACATAGTGAAACCCTGTCTCAGAAAAACAAAACAGGAGAGAGAGAGAGAGAGAGAGAGAGAGAGAGAGAGAGGGAAAGAAAGAAAGAAAGAAAGAAAGAAAGCAAGCAAGCAAGCAAGCAAGCAAGCAAGCAGGGAGGGAGGGAGGGAAGGAGGAAGGGAAGGAGGAAGAAAGGAGAAAAAAGGAAAGAAAGAAAGACCTAGGTGCTGAGTCAGCCCCACCTTGGTCCCTCCCCCTCAGCAGGGCTGCCTGTCCAGATGTGCAGCCTCTGAACACCAGGGTAAAAGGAGACTGAGCACACTGAGCTGGGTCACCTCCTGTGAGACCAAGCTGAGATGGGGGGGCCCAAGGGTCCTTCAGGGTCCCCCAATCACCCAGGCAAGGACTGACTCTGCTGTCCAGACTCAGGGCATGAAGATGTGCACGGTGCACTATGTGGCCAGCTGTCCAGAAGCCAGCAGGCCCGCCAGGTGACAGGGCCAGCCCGGGGCCTCCCTGCACAGTGCAAAGCCATTAAGCGCCTCCATTGTCATTTACATCACAGAGGAGACCTCTGCACACCCCTTCAGGTTAGAATAGTGGGGACAGAAAGGGGAGGCAAACCCATTCCGCTGAGCTACATGCTTAATTACATGGAATGCTGCAGAAATTGTCAAGTGCAAAGAATTATTCTGATAAATTAAAATACTAATTAAATAGGCTTTTGCAGAATTCTGAGAACATTACAGGGTTCCGCTTCTTCAGGTGATTTGCATATCCTTCATCTAGTGAATTTAATTTTAAAAGACTTCCTTTTTGTGTTTAGAAGGCCTTTTTGCCTCCTAAGAAGGTAACAATGGGCTGCCCACATTGTTCTCTGCCTTCCCTGAAGCAGTGTCCTGCTCTCCCATCCTGGCCTGGTGGCCTAGGCTCATACTTCAAACCAAAGTTCAGAACTTGGCTGAAAAATAACTCGGAACTGAAATGTGAACATTTAGTGGACAGAATTGTCCTTTTTCTGCCCCTCAGCGTGCATCAGCAGAGACTCGGCACTGGTGGTGTTGTCGTGGGTTCACAAACAGGAGCGAAGCAGCCGAGCACCTCCTCGCCAGCCTGGGACATATGGCAGGGACCTCACCACAGGCAGCCCTGTCTCCGGGCTCTGAGGGGCTGTGGCATGAGGACAGATGCGTGCTTTGTGGTCACTTGGGATAGTGTGTGTTGACTGAGTGAAACTCTCTCAGACTCGCCGCAAATCACTCCTGCAACACCTCGAAGGATGGTGTGGGAGTAGCAGGTGGATGAAATCCTCACACACTCTCACATTCCAAGCCCTCTCCTCAGTTGCTCAGAGCACTGTGCCCACGCTTTTCCCACTGCAGGGTCTAAGGAGCACAGTGGTGACAAAGCAGCACTACTTGTAGTTCCTGTCCCCGTCTGCAAGACCAGCTTCCGAGACGCTGTCTGTCCAGCAGCCAACGCACCTCCCAGAGATCTGGCCGGGCTCCATGGCCTTGTTGGGAGCTGCCAGCTGCTCCCGGGAATGGTTTTACAGGAACACAAGCTGGCCGTCCACTGTGCACCCCAGGGTCCAATGACCTCGGGCCCTCTGGAGGGCGGAGCGGAGGAGCCAGGGAGCCGAGCTGGGGCTGCCACACCTGAGACACTCACTGTCCTGCCCCTTCAATAAAAGCTTGCTAACCCCCAGTTGGGTCGGTCTACTTGGTTATCGACTGGAAGGGGTTTTTCTCATTCCTGACCCTGAAATCTCACGCTCTGTGGCAAAGACTGCTGTAGTTTTATTCCCATTTTTATCCACTTCTGTTTCTCAGGCTGCTTGAAAGAGTTCACCATTGTCCCGCCCCCAAATAGCTGGCCATTCAATAAAATGCTTCTTTTGTTTGCAAGAGCCCATGAAATGGATTGCTTTGTGTTCTGTGTCTTTAAAAATACCCTTTGCCGTTCACAGTTTGCACCTGGACTGCTCTCCCTGCCCCCCAGAGGAGTCTCCAGTCGTTTGCATGACCTGTGTTGCTTTAGGGCCACCTCATTCTCAACGCAGCCACACTTACCTATGTGTAAAAAGTAATGCCTGTTGTTCAAAGGGAAAACTTCTGGAAGACAGTAAAAGGCCCGGAAGGTGGGGATGGTGGCCTGGCATGAGGTCTCATTTGTATCCCTCTGAAAGATATCATTTCATTACACAAGATTATTGTAGGTGTAGGGCAATAACAGGGGAAGTGATTGCTGTTTTCTTGCTCTCTTGTTCCATATTAATCACAACTGCGATGCATTCTTTCATGGAATTTGGAATCAAATTCTATTTTTTCTGGTTTTCATTTGCAAAGTGACAGGGGCTTTATCCAAAAGGATATTCCTACAGAACTATAATCCAAAGTCAATTGCCTTCTGACACACTTCCTGTCTATGCAGTTGGGTGGGTGGATTCACTGCCTCCGCACAGCACCCTGCATTGTCATTGACACCACTGATTGTTTCCAAACCTAACCTGTGCAAGTATGACTTCAAGTGGGATTCATTTTCTAGGAGTCTTCTTCACTCAAAGTCAGGAGCAAACTAGAGGGAGGCTTTTACCGGAGCTAAATCACCCTGGATGCTTCTTGAAGGGGCAGAAGCAAGGGGAATCAGAACTCCAGCACTAATACCAAAAATCCAGCTCTGCCTCCTGGGGCATCTTTTATGAACATGTAATGTTAATTAATCAAACGCTATTTCCCAGTGACTGGATAAGGACTTACATTACATCATTCTAAAATAAGACTTTACAGTTTGTAAAGCACAGTCACCTGCACTTCCTCGCCACACCTGGGTGGCCTTATCCTCTGACTTCGGCCTATGGCACACGGTGGCCCAAGGCAGGAACGGGGCTCAGTGGGTCACTGGCCTCTTGATCACCACTAGGGCCCTGCTGAAGCAGCCGTGCAGGTATCGACTTCCTTTTTGGGGGCACATGTCCAGTTGTACCCAGAGACCCACTCCCTCCCCACAATGACCCTCTGCTTCTTCATTTTTCCCAACAGCTGACCACAAGAACCAGCTGGCAGACACATCTGAACTGAAGATCCTTCAGAGCGGTACTGGGCCGGTGAGTAATATGAGGAAGGCCTCATGCATGCGCGTCCTATTCTGGTGTCTTCTTGGGGTCTGGTGGCTTGTGGACTGATTCCAAGGATGTAGTGCTGATGCTCCTTCCACTGGAGCAGTTGTCGTTGCAGTGGGTCCTTCTGTTGTTGGAGATTCTGGCTAAGGGTGTCCCAGATTTAAGGTTTTGGGTAGCCTTTGAGATCCAAATCTGTTGTTTCCTCTTGAAAGATCAGTTGCAAAGAAGTAAAGCAGAGAAGCCTACAGAAACATACCCTTGCTTCTGCAGCTGTTTTGCAGGTGTTGCGTGGATGGGAGTGGTGGGGAAAACATTTGCTTCCTCCCAGGCGTCAGTGGGGTGGGGCATCTGACATCAGGTATAAGGTATAAAAGAGGGTGTGTTCCCATGATGTGGGGGCACAGTGACTGACTGTGTGTATTCTTGACCACACGCTCTGCCACCGTTGAGGCCACCAATGTGCAGTCTCAGCCACCATCAAGGCCAGTGACCACACTCCCAACTGAGTGATGATTGAATGACCTGTCCACAGAGCTGCAGACTGACTCCTCTCAGAAGTCAGCATGGACCAAACCAGTCTTGCTCTGTGTTTGAAATTTCACTCCACTTGCCGTTCAAGATAATTAGCTATTGAGGAAGGCTTGTTACGTGGGCGCCTCTCTGTGTGGCAGAAATCTCCTTGGCGAGTCACTTAAAGATAAGCTGCCGCTTTGGGGCTGTCTCCTCTTCCCCCGTGCTGGTCTTGAGATCTTGAGAGGAGAACTTGCTGAATTGATGGCTGTACTCAAACAGGCCCTGTATTTACGAAGTATGTGTATTGATACCAGCTTGTGCACAGAAGCTGGAGAGGATGTGCATTCTGAGACTGATGGGCAGGGGTGGGGCCACCACCAGTGATCTGAGGGAACTTTGTAGAGATGCCTGAGGCCCTGACAGTTGCTCGATTCTCGGTACTTCCTTGAAGCTGTGCTGCCCCGGATGGACTAATGGGGTTTGACTGCTGAGTATCCTGGTGTCCCTGGTAGTTTGCTGTGCCTTCAGCACCAGTGTAGGGCGAGAGAAGGACTAAGTGTCCCTCCCAAGTGCCGTCCTGATCAGCAGGAGGGGTGGTGACTGATGGCAGAGAGGCCCACTGTGTTGTGGAGGCTGGTCACTGGGGGAAGGGCTGGGTTTCGTTGCCAGTCTCAGCACGGACAAGATGTGCCTCCCCTCCCCCCTTTGCACACCAGCCCAGCAGGGCAGCTTCTGGGTTCCAGAGCAGAGTGCCCTGAGATTGGAAGCGAACCCAGGAGATACGGGTCAGTGCCATCAGCATAACCCCATCTGGGAAAGGCCAGAGGCTGGGAGCATCAGGGCCACTTGAGAAGTGTGTTCTCTAGGAGGGAAGTAGATTTGTGGTTTCTTTTTAATTGTGATATCTTCAGCAGGGAGCTGTGGGTCCCCTGAGTTTCTGCATAAGAAGTTTTGCATTTTCTCCCCATATCTCAGCATCCACCCCTGCATTAACTTCCCACCTTGAGGTTTCTGCACCACGCTGGCATGATATGGAGGCTAATCAGTCTTCCAATCTGCCTAGAGAGGAGTGTGGCAAGGGCTAAAGAAAGAAAGACAGACACTCTTCCAAAGTACATGAGGGGCTGGGAGGTCAGTGCCAGAGTGGGCAGAGACAAAGACATTCTGAGCTGGCCACTATTTATTCGGGGCTCATAATAACCAGAGGGAGTATTGGGTGGCTCAGAGGGCTGCAGTGATGGTCTGCTGAGGGGGATCTTATGTTGATGAGGGTCTCATGTTGGTAAGGATGGTGAGACGGGCACAGCATTCTTACAATAGTAGGTGGGAGGAGATAGCAGGCTAATAAGGAATTTGTCCTTCCCCCAGGTGAAACCTTGCTCTTTTTTTATTACTACTGGGTTCTAACGGGTCTAGGATGTCTTCAGCTCATGTAATCTTGACCTGGAGTGTCACAGCATCGTGGAACCACTGAGTCCCCAACTGGGACCAGAGCTATGTTTCCACATACCATACCAAGCTCTCCTGGCTAGACACTATGCTTTAGGTGCCCTAACCATAATTTAATTAGGAAATATTTTTCTCCAAAGATTATATAGCATGGCTCTCAATAGCACGAGCCACAGGTCTGGTTCAGCCTCCCCTGCCCTCCGCAGTAAGTGGGTGGTGTAGTCTGGGTCCTCTGTCCTCAGGTGAAGCAGTGAAGCAGCTTTTAAGGTCCTAGGCTTAATGTGGGGACTCAGTGCCAACTCCCCCCTCCCCACAACCCCACAGCCACATGAGCCATTAGGAACCCAAGCCCCAGGTCCTTGCCCCTCTCAGAACGGCTGTAACCTTGGCTCCTGGACTAGACCAGTGTTGATCTCTCCTGATGTTAGGTGTCTGGAGACCCCTTCTTCCTTCTGACTGGGCCCCGTCCTCTTTCAGCTGTGTTGTGTTTCATAGTTTAGGTCTCCAGCTCGAGAGAGGGTCCCTGCCCTCATCAGTTTACTGTACCGTTCGTTCGTTCATCCATTCAGTACTCATGGTGAGTGTCCCACGTGGTGACAGGTGTGAATGACTGAATCCACAACCAGAAGCAGAGGGGACCCCTGAACTCAGGGAGGACCCATCCCTGTGAACCTGCATCATGGCCACCTCTCCTTGCCACCCAGGGGGCTCCTGCTGGACTTTATCTCTGGTCTTTTGAGACCCACATCCCTTGAGTCTTATTTTCTGTTTCCAGCCTTGACCACACCTGCGAGTCTCTATAGTCCATACCAACCTCCTGTTCCAATCACTACCTCTTCTCTTTTATCAATGAGTAGTTTTTTAAATTTTATTTTATTGGTACATTGTAGGTATACAATATAATGACATTCATCATTGGAAATTTGCACCTTTACATACTCTCTTGGTTCTTATTTTTCCCTCTTCCCTTGCCCTCCCTTCAACCCCTCCATCCCTCTCTATTTACAAAGACTTTCTTTCCATTTTTCCATTTTCTCACATTAATTCCATTCCCTTCTTTCCTTTCCCCTACCCCTCCCACTTCCCCTTCCCCTTTGCCCCTTTTCTTCCTATTTCACATTACCTTTTATACCTTTTAGTCTTTATTTACACTTTCGGTTTCTCACACTCTAGAAACTATTCGGTATTTATACATGTGTGTCCTATTTATTTCACTTAAGAGTATCGCCTCAATGTGCATCCACTTAGCTATAAATGTCTCTAGTTTCTCCTTCTTTATGGCTGAGTAGTACTCCATTTTATTAAAGAAACCACATTTTCTTTATCCAGTTTCCAGCTGATGGGCATCTGGGCTGTTTCCAAGTTTTAGCTCTTACAAACTGCACTGCTATGAACATGGGTGCACATATATCACTGTGGTATGATTCTTTTAATTCTTTGGGGAAGATCCCCAGCAGGGGAATAGTGGGGTCAAATGGGACTTCGAGTCCTAGTTCTTTGAGGTATCTCCATACTGATTTCCACAGTGCTTGCCCCAGTCTGCTCTCCCACCAGCAGTGGAGCAGGTTCCTCTTTCCCCGCATTGTACCAGTGAGTACTGAGCCCACCTGAGTGCTCTCAGGAATTACTGTGCATTGTTGAAAGTATGTGTCTTCATCCACCTCCCTCCTAGGTTTCTGGATGGCAGGGAGCCTCTTGCTGAGGTCGGTTTCACCTCACTGCCATGCCAGTCAGTTTCACCTGAAATTCTTCACCCCAGTTCTCAGAAGAGCCCTCAACACAGACAGTGATTCCCACTCTCCACACATCTGCTTTGTCACTCTCCTCTTGCCACATGCCAGCAACTCACCTGCATGCTGGGGTGCTTGTACACACACATGTGTATGTGCGTGCACACAGCCACCTTGTCCCCACAGCCCGTGACCTTGATGGCATTTCACAGCAGAAAAAGCCTGTATGGTGCCTCCACCTGCTGCACAGAAAGAATGAACTTCTTGCCTACTCCTTCTTCACAGTGGCCAGCCACCCTGGCACCAACTCTTCTGTCATGGCTGGATGCCTTCCTTGCCACATTATTGCTGTCAACAGACAAGTACACTTTCCTGTTCCCATCTTATGAAAACTGTCTAAACCTTCCTCGAGACCAGGTTCTCAGCAGAAACCCCTTCTTAGCCTCCCTGTTTCCCTTCGTAGCAAAGCTTATCCAGAACAAGTCTGTGTCCTGGAATCTGTCTCTCCCCACATGTTCCAGTCAGGATCCACTTCCACGATCAATGGCACTGTCCACTGCCAGAACCATCCGAGCCTCAGAGTTGGAAAATTGACCTTCACCTCTCATGGGCTCCGCAGTGGCTACTCTCACTCATCTTGAAACACCTGTTGCATGGATGTGTCACCGCAGACCCCTCACGGCCAGCTTCTCCTTTGCCCACCTGCCACCAATCTGCAAATCCAAGGCACTATCCCTACCCCATGCCTCTGGGTACTCTCTCCTCTAGAATCTCATCCAGGCCATGGATTGTTATGTCATCTACCTATCTTACAATGACCCCTGGCATAAGTCTCTGGTGCTAAGCCACAAATGTGTCTAGTCACCAGCATCCTAGACTTCAGATCTAACTGCCTTCTAGACTTCTCCACCTGAATGTCCATGCAGGCGTCTCACACCTAGCCATCTCTGGGGTTCGTCCACTGGGGCATGTAGGAATACCTCACACTTGACTTGGACAAAGCAAGATTCCACTTTGCTGCCTCAACCTCTTTCTGGTCCATAGTATTTTCCTCTCATCACTTCCGATTTATTGAAGTGTGAATCACTACTTAGATTATCTGTGAAGCAGGCTGTGTAGAGGCAGAGGACTATCCCTCTGTCCACTCCAGATGTCCACCCTTCTCCTGCGTGGCTCTCCATGGACCAGTGGCTCCCAGTTGCTGGTGGGAACAGGGCAGGAGCCTAGCACACAGGCATCACAGTACTGGCTCCTGCATCTCACTCCCACATCTGAGGTGGTCCTACACTCAGT